AGGAATGTCTTCCGCCTTCACACGAAGTTGGTGGTAACACGACCGAAGGTCAATTTTTGAAAACACCACCGCTCCCCTCAATTGATCCATCAAGTCATTAATTTGAGGTAACGAATATTTATTCATGATCATAACCTTGTTCAACTGTCTTTAGTCGGTACACAACCGCATACTACCATCTTTCTTCTTAACGAACAAAACAGGCGCACTCCACGGGAGACACTAGGACGAATAAACTTCTTGGCCAATAAGTCTTCGACCTGCTTCTTCAACTCGGCCAATTCTAACGGTGCCATCCTATAAGGATCTATAGATATGGGTCCCGTTCCAGGTACCAAATCAATAGAGAATTCTACTTCCCTCACTAGAGGTAACTCCGAGATGTCACCAAGGAATACCTCAGGGGACTCACAAACTATCGGAATGTCCTCAACTCTGGGTTTCTCAATACCCTCTAGGGCTGGCAACAACATAAACACGGCTCCTCCCTCCTTACAGGAAGTCCTGACTTCCTTTGCCGACAACGGCCTCATACAACCATCCTCATCAGAAATCCCACCTGGATTTCCGAATACCACGGTCTTATCAGCACAATTCAGCATCACGTGATTCGTCGACAACCAGTCCATTCCCAGAATTAGATCTAACTGGGATAGTGGTAAACAAATTAAATCCAAGGTAAATGTCCTACCGTTTATCACTACCGGACATCGAGATACAACTGCCGACACCACCACGGGCATATTAGTTGGGGTGGATACGACCAAGTCGAAAGGCAACGACTCAGTATGCAATTTCAGTCTTTCCATGCATTCAATAGATACAAAGGAGTTAGTCGCTCCCGAATCAAACAACACTAAATGAGGAATGCCTACCACCATGCAATTACCTTTGATCAGGTCATCCACATTCGATGCATATGCACCACTCATGGTGAATACTCTGCCGGTGGATCGAGGTCGTTCAGCACTAACAACATTCATACTCTGCCGTAATTTGGGACAATGCCTCTTAAGATGCCCACTCTCCTTGCAGTAAAAGCAGCTAAGTGTTGTTCCGGGGCAAGAATCACCAAAATGCTTTCAGTCGCATTTATTACACCAGGATTGAGAGTTTGGTTGCGACCCTCCGGCACTGGCATGAGTTCTTGACCCATGCGGAGTGTATCCTCTGTTACCCATAGGCGAGGAATAAGGCTTCCTTTCTTCCGGAAACGCCTTACCCTTACCCTTCCCGTGCACAAAATTCCATTAGGGCCCAAAATTCTTGGGAGGAAGTGATCTTGACGCCACCACTTCATCCGCCTTCATATCATCCTCAACCATTCTACACTTGTTGACCAATATAGAAAAATCAGTGATCTCTTGATGCCTAAGCATCGTTTTCAGCTTGGGCTTTAATCCCGATTCAAACTTCGAACATTTAGGCCTTCCATCTGCCACCAATTTTGTATAAGGGCAAAATCGGGCCAACTCTTCAAACTTGGCTGCATATTCTACCACCGACAAGTTTCCTTTTTCCAACCTCAAGAATTCCATTTCTTTTTGACTCCTCAGATCAACAGGAAAATACTTTCGAAGGAATTTCTCCCTGAAAGTACACCACAAAATTACTTGCCCTTCTGCCTCCATTTGGCGCCGAGTGAATTCCCACTAGTTCTCGGCCTCCTTCACTAACATATAAGTGGCATACGCCAATTTCTGAGCATCAGAACAACTCATAGCCTTGAAAATCCTCTCTAGTCCCTGAATCCATTCTATGGCAACATCAGGAGCGAACCCACCTTGAAATTGACTAGGGTTCCTCCTGCAGAATTCATCCAATCCGCGATACTCAGCCGGACCGGGTGGAACCAAAGGTTGTGAACTCGGGCTTGGTGTCGCATTCTGATTCAGGTGCTGCAAGTTCTCGTTCATGTTTGTCAACACTGCCGCAATCTTGGCCAATAATTCATTCTGACCCGATCCTCTTCCTCTTCTAGACATTTTAGTAACGGGTGCCTGCACTAATTCGTTCATTAGTAAACCACGTTTAACCAGATAAATCATCACAAAATCACACAACATTTCGCCTAAATCACATAATTAAATCATCTAAAGGTTACAAAGAAGTAAGTAAGGCCATACACACATTTTCCATTTCAAATGCACAAATTAAAGACTTATCCTTACCTTGGTGAGTGTTGGGTTGGGTTCTTGGTAACTGTACTAGTTCCACCGACACCGCCGCCAAATCTAGGATCTTTCCCATTCCCACCATACATCACAATGTTAGTCATTTATTCCAAATATCACATAAACAACTCATATTTCATTATTTAACCACGGAAGATATTTTACACATTTTCCATGTTGCTAAACTACTTTCATCAAAAGTTTACAACATCTAAAACATACATATTCATCTCATATTTCAACATTAGAAAGCTTATTCATTTTACCCATTTTCTTCTTTAACCATATTTTCACTTTAGGGTTTTGGGGTTTTCATGAATCAACCACAAACCCTTTCCATTCTTGAAATACTAACCTAAACCAAGAGGTTACAAGATAAAAACAACATAAAACGAACCATAACTTAAAAGGATGAATTTCCATGGTTTCTCTCATTTTGAGAAGAGATCCAACATACCCAAAACATGTTTCAAAGGGAATAGGAGAGTTAGAATCAAGAGCTTTACCTCTTCTCAAACTTCTAAATGACTCACAAGCCTCCTTGCTCTTGAAAAGGCTCTCTTCTCTCACTTCTATCTAGGTTAACCCTCATAAATTTGTTTGGGGTCCCCTACTTAATGCAATAGCGTCGGGTCCTCGCTTAAGCGAGCCCTTTCTCGCTCAAGCGAGAAAATCCCGCCTATTTTAAAAACTCATATCTGACCCTCTCGCTCAAAAGAGGATCCTCTCCCTCAAGCGAGAATCTTACAGCCTCGACAGGTCCAAAACATCACTTTTCTCGCCTAGGCGAGCCAACCCTCGCTCAGGCGAGAATCCTCCAGTATAGCCAAGGAATTCACCCTTCTAGTTGAGCCTTTCTCGCTCAAGCGAGCCAACTCTCGCTCAGGCGAGAATCCTCTAGTATAGCCTAGGATTTCACCCTCCCAAGTGAGCCTTTCTCGCCCATGTGAGAATACCTCACTCAAGCGAGAATCTCAGGACTGATACTATAATTTTTAAAGATGTAAATTTAGGGTCTTACATAAAACCCTTGATCCTAACTCTCTTCTTCCCTTTGAAAGTTGTTTTGGGTATGTTGGATCTCTTCTCAAAATATGAGAAACCATGGAAACTCACCCTTTTGAGTTATGGTTCGTTTTATGTTGTTTTTCTCTTGTAATCTCTTGGTTTAGATTTGGTATTTCAAGAATGGAAAGGGTTTGTGGGTTGATTCATGAAAACCCCAAAACCCTAAAGTGAAAATGTGGTTAAAGAGGAAAATGGATAAAATGCTAGAGGTAGAAGATGAGTATGCATTCTAATGTTGACATATGAGATGAATATCTAGGTTTTAGATGTTTGTAAACTTATAATGAAAGTAGTTTAGAAACAATTAAAATTGTGTTAAATCTCTTATATGGTTAAAGTTGCAAAATGAGTTATTTATGTGTTATTTGGAATAAATCACTAACATTGTGTTATATGGTAGGAATGAGGGAAGATCCTAAAGTTGGAGGCGGTGTCGGTGGAACTTGCGAAGTTACCAAGAACCAAACCCCTCACTCACCAAGGTAAGGATAAGTCTTTAACTTGTGCATTGTGTTAGAAAATGTGTGGATTTTCTGGTTGTGGACAATGATCAAGTTGTGAACCACGTATTTATTATAAACTTATATGGTTATATTTGTAATAATGATGACGTGGATTTATTTTTTATGAATTTATGGAGTAACAATGAAAAGAAAACTCGTTTTTAGCCGAAACGATTGGTTAGCGACTTTGGCTCAAGTAATGTAGCAAGCTTTGGCTCAAGCGATGTAGCAAGCTTTGGCTCAAGCGATGTAGAAAGCTTTAGCTCAAGCGATGTAGCAAGCTTTGGCTCAGGCGATGTAGCAAGCTTTGGCTCAAGCGATGTAGCAAGCTTTGGCTCAAGCAATGTAGCAAGCTTTGGCTCAAGCAATGTAGCAGGCTTTGGCTCAAGCGAGGTAGAAAGCTTTGGCTCAAGGGATGTAGCAAGCTTTGGCTCAAGCGATGTAGCAAGCTTTGGCTCAAGCGGTGTAGCAAGCTTTGGCTCAAGCGATGTAGCAAGCTTTGGCTCATGCGATGTAGCAAGCTTTGGCTCAAGCGATGTAGCAAGCTTTGGCTCAAGTGATGTAGCAAGCTTTGGCTCAAGCGATGTTGAAAGCTTTGGCTCAAACAATGTAGCAAGCTTTGGCTCAAACAATGTAGCAAACTTTGGCTCAAGTTATGTACCATGATTTTCAAAGTATAAACGATGGAAAATGGTTTGAAGTATATGTAAAGCTTTATATTGTTTAATTAATCTTATTAAAATGTGGATTAACGTTCATTGGCATTTATTGAGTTAACGGCTTACTCCTTTTTGTTTTCTGTGCATGGTCAATGTTAATCCAATTGCAGGTAGGTGGAAGCATTTAAGGATACTTTGATTAGGAGCTTAGAGGCTTTTAATTTTTTTGAAGTTCTTATCTCCATTTTTTTGTAATCTAACTGATTATGTTTTGAACTGAATATTTGTAACCATTGGTATGATATTTAAACATGTTGATAGCCATGGAAAATTGTAACTCTGGATATTTCTAGCTATGGGTATTTTGGAAACACATAGCTAGTTGTATACAGTAGTTACCGGGGTGCATTATTGAATTATGATTTTCTGTTAAACGAATATGTCTGTCGTTTTGACTTATAGAATGAGTATGAATATGAAAGTGAGATTTAAAATAAGGTTGTTGAAAGGGTATTTAAAAGTTATGAGAAAAAGTATGAAAAATGAATAAAATAAGGAAAATATTTCAAGGGTAGAATTTGGGTCTTTACAAATCGGTGGAGATAACTCTAATAAAATACTGTATGACCACAATGATCTTCTCCATCACCTTAGTTGCTTTATTTCATCATAATTTCAACTTGTTGCACCTTCATGAGTGTCACAGCTAGCATCCACTTGACCAAAGCATCATCACTTTATCAAACAATGAAATAACATTCAATTCAAACAACCCAAAGACTCAAGCACATTTCAAAATTAAAAGGCATACAACAAGGTTATACTTCTACAAAATCAAAATTCTGCTGCTTTAAAACTAAATCTTAAAGTAGGATAAAAAATCTAAGTAACTGAGGGCCTGAAATAATAGTAATAGTAATATATATTACAATAGGTATATTGGTTAACAAGGTATGTATTTAATACATTTTAGTTGGCCACGGTTTTTGTTATAGAAAAACAGAGGAAAATTGCTATTCCAACAATCAAATGATAAACTAAAAATTGCAAGCATTTAATTCCCTATATTAAATTCCAACAAGTGTATATTAAATTCTTATTAAAGAAAATGAGTGTCAAAGTGAAAAATAGTGAAAGAGGGTGGTTAAACAAATGAGAATCTTCAACATTCAGAGACTCCATAATTAGTCTAGAATTTTTAGGAACCAAGTAAATAACAATAATAACATTACTTGTGACTTCTATGAACCAAGTAACACTCATATGTTGAGCAACAGAAATGAAGAGTTCATGTCATAATCTTAGCCTAATGCGAAGTAATGACCAGAGAAATAATCAACGTGTGAGATGCTAAAACCCAATATAAACAAAGAAAGATGATTGAAAGGAATGAAATAATTATCTTACCTTCTTTGTCTACTGTCATCAAAATAAAGGGTGAAACATGAGTTTGCTGGAGGAAATTTGGAGATGAAAAGGCATGTGGGAAGAGAGATTGAGAAGTGTCCAGGAGTGAATGAAACAAAAACAATGGAGAGAAGATTTAAGAAGGAGAGGAATTTTGATAAATAGATGAAGGCTCTCTTGAAGAATAGAAAACTGAATTAGGGTTCTCTATGACAAGGGATATAGAGTGTTAATATATATAAAATATAATAAACTAATTATATTAGATATATATAGGATAGAAAGTAACGAATAGGTTATTATAGGATTTTATTTTGTATTATAATAACATACTATAATTTATATATATTAATAATGTGATAAGTGTTGGATAATTATGGATAAAATTATTAAAAGATAAACGTGCCATAATCAAATCCAAATATTTTAGGATAAATGTTATGATAAACATAACTATTCACATCAAAATAAGATAATGTTAACAAAGATAAATATCATGAAGTATATTATTCACTAAATTATTTACCAAAAGATAAATACCCATAAAAGATGTTTAATGAAAATTTAACATGTATTCAAAAAAAGTATGTGAGTACTTCAATAATATAATAAAGTGCACTTTTTACCAATATCTATATTTTTGAAATAAATCTAATTCTTAAAGGATAAAGGTTTACTTGACAACAAGATTATCAATGAAGTAACTTGTTTTCAAAATAGTACAAAATCATAAATTTTTTTGGATAATCATTCAAAGATGAACTACTCATCTAAAAATCATATTTTAATTAAGATAAATCTAGAAAACAAAATCAAGATTTTTAACTCACACATAAAATAGAAAATTATGGGCGTTACAGTATCCGCGGTTCTGGATTTGGGGTTAGCAAACGTACCCTGGTACCTGAAAAGCGTGCAACAAAAGCTGATGTAGCTAACTTGTAGGACAAATATGATTTACTTGCCGAACGATTCCTTGAAATGGAACATCTGATGCAAAGTAAATTTGTTGAGGGTCCTCAAGCTTCTACTACCGTGATTGAAAGTTTCACGCATCCAAGACACTTCATTCTCATTCCAGAGGTAATTTAATACACTAATTTGTTTTAACTATCATTTGTTTCACTATTGCTAAACTAATTAATTATATGTTTTAACTATCATCTAGGGAATAATCAATAATTGCAAAATCTTTCTGGATATCCCATGTACCCGAGCAATGGGAATTGACACGGTGTACAACACACGGGATGCCATGATACATAATGCACAAATCCCCTCCAATCATTTGAGGGTCTCAATTGATATTTCAATTAAAGATGATGTGTTGTTTCCAATTCCTATTGATGAGGATACCATCACAATTGGACGGGCTTTAGGCACTTATGTGGCTTGGCCAGAACATCTTATAGATGTAGTTCCTATTATGGTATGGTGTTCACCTTATGCTCATTCATTAAGGTACATATTTTGATCTATGTATTGGTGTTCACCTTATATATAACCTATGTATTGAATATTTCAGGGAAAGGTGTCTGCTGACCATAGCGCAACATCCCCTCCCAGAGTAGAAAATCCATCTAAATAGGCCAATGCGGTGAAGTCCAAGAAAACCAACTTCTGTGTAAAACTCATGAATTATATACAGAAGTTACCTGGCGATTTTACGATTATCATATCAATTCCCTTACCCATCTACGGGTTTTTGGTTGATGAATTTATCAATAGAAGTGATGTGAAGGATGTACACGATCACGATTGGATCGGTGCATCTGTTATATCTATGTATATAAGGTAAAATATATTTTATTAACATCTCATTTTTGCATTAAATCATTAATTGGTATTATAAGTATTATATGTTAGGAACTTGTATGACAACCTTATTTTCAAAAGTTCAATGAAGCTTATGTTCTTGTCCCTTCATGCTAACGCATTGGTTTTGCTTACCAGTGACCAAAGGAAGAAAGAGCATGCATAATATGTTTCAAACATTCTTAATAAACATAAAGCAAATGCTGACTTATTCCTTGCACCTCTTAACATCGGGTAAGCAACATTTTTTTAATTGTTTTTAACTATCTTTTTGCTTAACATTTCCTAACCGTATGCATTTATGTGTTTTATTAGGCAACATTGGGTTTTGGTTGTCATTAATCGGATCAGTCAACAATTGTTTTATTATGATTTACTAAAACACGGCGATCCGAACAAGTACCCCGCTATGAAATAATTGTTTAGTAGGTAAGTGGACTACTCATTTAAACTTTCTGAATTTTGTTACATTTTCATTATCACTTTCATTTAAACATTATTTTCTATTGTTTAGGGCAATGAATATATATAAAGCCCAAAATATTCGTACTAAATCTGCATCATCCATCACCTGAACTCATGTTAGATATTGGCACTACTCATCTCATCAAACAATTATATGTATTAATAATTCAATTATGCATGCATGATTATACTTATATTTACCTGCTTTTATTTGTAGACCCCTTGCCAAAACAATGACAAAGATTGCGGCTATTACGTGATTAACTTCATGAAGGAGGTCATTAACAAATGCACAACTGAAGTCCAATTTAATGTAGATACATATACAGATGAAAAAGTCAACCAAATTAGGGATAATTGGTCAAAATTTCTAAATTCTTTTAAAACTGATGTGTAATGGTTCAATTTGTAATATACATTGTGTTATGGTTCTGTTAAATATAAATAGTTGTTTTGGTTCAATTTGTGCCTTATTTTGTTCAATGAATTTTGTGTTCTGGTATTGTTGATGTATTTTTTTGCTGTTGTTAAATCCATTTTGTGTTTTGATAATATGTTGTTTGCTTGTATCAGTTGTGGGATGTCTGATTATGTGATTAGATTTAGGAAACATTCTATTCAATAGCTTTTGTTCAAGATTGTGCTGTTGCAGACATAATATAAAACAGCGCAACTTACTATTCGTTGTTGAATAGAACATATACAACAGCGAAAATTATAGATTTCACTGTTGTATATGGTCTATTCCACTACGCAATTTATTCATTCGTTGTTGAATAGAAATCCTATTAACAACAAAAAAGGATTCTCCCTAATATATTCCACAGCGTAGTGTTATACTTTCGCTGTGGAATTGATAACTTCCACAGTGTAGTGTTATACGTTTTGCTGTGGAATTGATAACTTCCACAGCGTAGTGTTACACTTTCGTTGTGGAATTGATAACTTCCACAGCACAATGTTCTACATTCGCTGTGGAAGAGAACATCCTATTAACAAAAAAAATTGAAGCTCATGATATCTTCAACAGCGAAGTGTTTTACATTCGCTGTGGAATTTATATCTGCCACATCGCTATGTTCTACATGCGTTGTGGCATTGATATCATTAATAACGCAAACTCAAGAATTCGTTGTTGAAGGCTTCTCAAATAAAACTTAAAACTATCCCCCATTCGAAAACCTCTTTTACACTAACTCTTTTTCTCAGCAGCAGCGAAACTAAAAACCTCAAAATCTTTCACCCATTCCATCATTCACACATTCACCGTCAAAATCATTCACACACTCAACATCGAAAATCATTCACGCATTGAACCTCAAAATCACTCACGCATTCAACATCAAATTTTTTTTCTCTCATTCAACACCAAAAGTTCACTAATTCTGCACCGAGTTGAAAGTGAGTTTTCCTTGTAAATACTTGCTTATATTGAGTTAGATTTCATCTTATCACATGAGTTATTATGTATGCCCGAATTTAAATTTCAACCATACACTCATTTAGATTGTATTTAGTTAGGGTTCCTAATTTAGCTTGTATTACATGAGTTATGATTTTTCATAATAATGTATTTGCTTGCAATGTGAAATTATATCAATGTTTTAGAGATTTATGTTACCCCAAAATCAAATTTCAATCATACACCAATTTAGATTTTATTTAGTTAGGGTTCCTTATTTTTCTTGTTTTACATGAGTTAGCTTGTAAGGTGAGCGGCCAGTTAATCATTTAGGGATTTATGATCCCGAATATAAATTTCAATTATTAACTCAATATTATATGACAATTTCTTTCTAGAAAATGGATGAAAGAATTGATCGAAAATGGTTGAGTGTCAATCGATTGACGAAGGAGTATGAGGATGGAGTGAAATCATTTGTTAAGTTTGCATCTAAGAATGCTGAAAACTCTGATCGAACCGTATGTCCTTGTTTGAATTGTTGTTACTCCAACCGAATTATTGCGGTTGAGTTAAAAGCTTATTTAATCTGTCACGATATCGATCAGAATTACACATGTTGGACAAGGCATGGTGAGAAAAGCCTTGAGATGCATATGAAAGAAAACAACACTAATGCATTTGAAGGAGATCGTTTTGATGAAATGGCAAACGTTGTCGAAGAGGATCTTCAGGATCGTCCTGAGATGTTTCAGCGGTTGATAAGTGATGTTGAGAAACCATTATATGATGGTTGGACTAAATTCCTAAGATTGGCAACTGTGTCAAGGTTTTACAAGTTCAAATCTATTAATGGATGAACTGATAAGAGCTTCACAGACCTATTGGCACTTCTGAAGGAAATATTGCCCGGAGATAATGTGCTTCCTTCTCGAACCTATGCTCCATTGGCATGGATTACAATAGGATACATGCTTGTGAAAATGACTGCATCTTATTTCTTAATGAATATGCTTCGTTGAAGTATTGTCCTAAATGTAATGCACCGCATTATAAGAAGGAAGACTCAATTGCCAATAAGATTGTATGGTATTTTCCTATCAAATCAAGATTTAAGCGTACCTCCAGCAACACTAAAGATGCAAAGAATTTGATATGACATCCTGTAGATTCTCCTCAATGGAGAAAAATTGATCAAGATTGCCCTAGTTTTAGTCAAGAATCAAGAAATCTACGCCTTGCATTGTCAACGGATGGAATTAACCCACATAGTGTTCAAAGTAGCTCCCTGATCGATGTCGTACCCGATGCAAATAATAAAACAATTAAGTATAGTACTAGGAAGTGACTCCTAGGTCGTTTCCCAAAGATTATCTTCACACATTGGTTCAAACACCTTTCATGCACACACATAGGGAGGTTTTGGTGGTTGTTATGCTATGAAACTAAAGCTAAAACAGAACACGAACATAAAATAGAATAGTAAAGAGGCTAAATCCCTTTGGTTTCCTTGTTCACAACTCAATCCTCGGTTTCAATATATCAAAATCAGATTCTTAGTGTTCCTTTGTAGAGAGTCGATTAACTAAGCGATGATCAACTCACAGTTAAATTGCTAAACCTCTAACTAAGCGAAATTGGCATAAACAACAAACAATTAAGAAAGTCACACAAATCAAAGCATCAATTTTAGATTCAAAACATTGAATTCCTAATCTGTTCATAACTCTATTGTTTAAGCTTCAAACTAAGCGAATTCAACATAAACATAGAGCATTTCATATTCACATAAACTAAGCGATTATGTGCTAGAGAACTAATTGAGTAAGCGAAAATCAGTTCACAAACCTAAATCAACACCATGAAATTAAGCAAACCACAATATGCCAAAAATGTCATCGGTGCTAAATATGACCTAAAAATGGAATTAGATTTAATTAGGCTAAATAATCCCAAATTAACTCATTTTAGGAATAATAGTCCAATAAAGCCTAAAACACTAAACCATGCCAAACAAAGTCAATTAGACACCAATAATTATTAACAATGGTAAATTAAGGTTATGAATAGTGTGTAATATATGACTCATCACTCCCACAGTACATGGTCAGTGATGTTGGTGATATACAACCTCCCTTATTCCCTGTGCATGAAGCGCAACCTCCCTTATCTATGTTAATTTCTGGACCTAAACAACCAGGAAATGACATAGACATATATTTGGCTCCATTAATTGAAGACTTGAAGAAAATGTGGGAGACGAGTATAGATGTATATGATGCATATAGGGAAGAAAGCTTCAACTTGAGGTTTTGTGTTCGACACAATCGGTGATTTCCCTGCATATGGTAATCTTTCATGATATACTACAAAATGAAATCTTGCATGTCCTATATGTGAAGACAATACTCATTCAACTAGGTTTCCACACTATAAGAAGAATGTCTACCTTGGTCACCGTAGATTTTTGCATGCAGATCATCAATATCGTCGATGGAGAAAAGCATTCGAAGGGAATAATGAAGAAAGTTGTGCTCCTTTGTCGTTGATGGGTGACCAATTATTTCAAAAGATAAAGGGTTTGAATAATAACTTTGGTAAACCTTTTGCTAAGATTACCTACTGTAAGCACCTGTCGGGAATTCTCTATTTTTATTATGATACTAAGTGGCCGTTGATGGTTTTCGACTTAACACCACTCTTATTTTCTTAGGTCGCCCTTGTGGGTTTTCAACCTAGCACTTCGTTTTTGTTCTTTGTTTGTGTGTTTGCTTTTTGCGTGACTTGACTATTTTGATTTTGAAGACCCTCGAGCGATTGTTTTAAGTGCATTAGAGCTTGAGTCGTTCCTAAAGCTACTGATAAGATCATTCCCTTCTTAGTTGAGGGATTTGAGATTGATATGTGATGAGCAACTTCAGCATTGCTCCAATTTGATGTGTTGGTTGTCATCTCACTCTTCGTATTGTCAATTGCAAGCTTAATCAAGACGACCTAGGAAGGAATCTCTTCAAAACTGCCTCATTGATAGTGCATTTTATTTGACCTGACTTTTGCCTGAGATTTTTTATTTTGAAATATCAGCGGGCTTATTTGCATTTTCGCTTTTGTTTTTTTGTAATTTCGCACTTTGACCATGGACATTTTTGTTTGACCTTTTTGGGTTTTCACTCCTCGGGTTAGATATGGAAAATGATGTAAGTATAGTGTATTTCTTTTTTTCTTTAAAAGTTGAATGTCAAGGAAAACAATTGAACAACTACCCTTCCCAAGGTTATTGATATTTTGTGGGTCATTTAGCAGAAATCTCCTTTCATAAAGTCTAAGGCTCAAATTGGGTGACTAAGCACATCTTCTTTGTGTTTGATTTTTTCAAGGATGCCTTGTGTCATTAGAAAAGATTTGCCTAAGGATTTGCACCATTCCAGGTCTTACTTTTGCATCATCCTCCATTTCATACAAATTATTGAAGCAAAAATCTCATATTAATGCATGAATCGATTTGGTTTGTTTTGGTTCTTTTTTTTTGTTGAGATTTGTGGAATGGAGTACGAGATGATAATTTACATGATCAATCCAATAGTATATAATGAAATGAAAATATAGATGCCCCATTGTTTGATGACCTTTAGCATTGGGGAGAGCAATATGAGTTCCAAAATATGATTTGATTCACCAATTCCTTGAGGACTTCCAGCTTTGACTTGATTATCTTGATGTGATTGAAAACAATTGTTGTAAGGGTGCTTATGAGCAATAGTGAAGCAAATTTTTGTTTTTTTGTTGTTGTTGGAATATTTGGAATACGAATTTTTGAAAAAGTAATTCCTTTTCATCAAGAGATGTTGGTATAATTCGACATTTACCGCGCAATTTATTACTATGAGGAGTACCACAATAGCTTCTCCTACATTGATGATAATACAAGACGAAACACAAGGCCTCAGACTAGGATTGCATCTAGATTGTTTATTAGCATTGCCAAACAAACATCTTGTCCTGCATTTGTTGTCTTGGGAGCGTACCCCTCAAGGTCACCTGCAGTTGATGACAATTTCAG